CCAGAGCCAACGTGGCCATTGCAGTAACGTGTCACACTTGGACCCCTGAATCTGCACATCTTCCACCAGCTGCTGATTGCTTGACTAGTTTGTATGGGAAAGGCACAGCTTGAGCACTTGCCATGAAGGTTGGCTTACAGAACTAATGAGCCAGTAGAATAGTCAGGAAAAAGGGCAGGGAATGGGGCTTTGACTGGGTAAGCCCCTGGTCTTTTTCCAATAAAAGATTGTCTCCTCTTTCAAGCTCTGCTCAAGGCATTCTGTTTCCATAGTAAAATTCTTATACCCCTGTGCAGCAAACTCCTAAGGCCAAGAGTTGTTCCAGTTTTCACCCTTTCCTCAAATTAGTGTTTTGTTGTGGACACACACATTTTCATGTGGGTTTTTTGCTCCCTACTGTCTAGCAGGAGTAAAACTGCTGGAATTCTTTCTAGTTTCATCCTGGAAGCTTGAGCTTGATATTTTTCTTTGTAACTGTGGAACATTATTAATTCTACTTGACCTGTCCTTGAGCCACAGGGTTTTCTAGGCTGTGTCACCCCACCTTTATCTAGAGTGTGGCCCACCCGAGTGCAAATGGGAGCATGGAGAGTTATGTTGGTTTTTTGAGGTGTTGCTTCACTCTTTACTTTTCTCCCACTACCTCCTCACTCCCTGATAAAGTAAATATTTATGAAAAGTACCTGGAGAAAAACCCTATGAGTCACCAGGAGAGTTTATCATGATCATATAATCTCCCCTTGACTTGATTGAATCCTTCTCCTTTAGATGATAAAACCCTTGTTGAGCACTCAGACTTGAACTGAAATGGTGCAATTATTCTTTTCACTTGATGCTCAAGATTCTTTGGTTTAAATGTTTTCTAGTGGATGATAGTGTCAATTAATGAGTCAAATTCTTATATTAAGAGGAATTCTGTAACCTAATGATTTTTCATCAGGGTAAAGTAAAATGTATTTGAAAATGTATTTGAAAATATTTGGCCTTACAAAAGCAATGGAGAAATGAATCTTCCTGTGATGACAATCGTTGCTGCGCTGGGACACCGTGTTACGTGTTCTGCACATTTCTCAGATTCCATTTTCTGCTCACTTCCCTCATACAATCAACCTGCCTGCAAGTGTAACAGCTGGAGAAAGAGTGGTTTTATTTGGGGAAAGGTGTGGGAGGCTTCTCTTAGATCAGAAGTATGGAAAGCACAAGGACTTTGAGAATGTGACATCACTGGAAAATGTCACATTCTCCAAGAGGTTCTGAGCCATGGCTTCGTAAGCCAAACCTCCCTCTGCCTGAGGCCTGGGGAAAGTGAAATTAGAAGGGTTACAGTCCTTCTTATGTAGCTCCTTCCTTCAGCTACTTCATATAGAAGGTGCTTTGAGGACTCGAGCACAGAGAGTGGCAGTGACTGGGGTGACACCAGACACCTGTCACTGGTGGGGTCCCACAGGGCTCCACCTTGGGCCCTGTGCTCTCCAACATCTCCGTCAATGACTTGGACACAGGACTGGAAGGGACACAGAGCAAGTTTGAGACAAAACTGGGAGGAGCTGTTGAGTCCCGGGAAGGCAGGGAGGCCCTGCAGGGAGACCTGGGCAGATCAGAGGCCTGGGAATCACCAACCATGGGAAGTTCAACAAGGGAAATTTCCGGATTCTGGCCCTGGGATGGAGCAATCACAGCTGCACGGGCAGACTGGGGAGTGAGATGCTGGAAAGGAGTGCCAGGAAAGGGACCTGAGGGCAGAGAGACCACGACAGGTCAGAGATGGACAATCCCCAACCATGGGAAGTGGAACAAGGGCAAGGGCTGGATTGTGTCCCTGGGCCGGGGCAGCCCTGGCTGTGTGTGTGGGCTGGGGATGAGAGGCTGGAGAGCAGCTGCAGGAAGGGCCCTGGGGGTCCTGGTCCATGGCCAGTTGTTCCTGAGCCAGCAGTGCCCTGGCAGCCAGGAGGGCCAACGTGTCCTGGGGGCATCAGGGAGGGGATTGTCCTGCTCTGCTCTGCCCTGGGGCGGCCTCCCCTCAACATTGGGGCAGTTTGGGGGGACACAATATAACAAAACCATTGGAGAGTGTCCAAAGGAGGCCACGAGGATGGGGAAGGGCCTTGATTGGAAGCCATGTGAGGACACTGAGGGCACTTGGTGTGTTCAGCTGGAGCAGAGAAGACTGAGGGGAGACCTCAGTGCAGTTCCAAATTCCTGGGCAGGGGCAGAGGAGGGGCAGGGGCTGAGGTCTGCTCTGGGGGGACCAGGGACAGCCCCCAGGGAATGGCTGGAGCTGTGTCAGGGCAGGCTCAGGTTGGATCTCAGGCAAAGGTTCTTCCCCCAGAGGCTGGTTGGGCACTGCCCAGGCTCCCCAGGGCAGTGGGCACAGCCCCAAGGCTGCCAGAGCTCCAGGAGGGGTGGGATGATCCTCTGGGGCACAGGGGGTGACTCTTAGGGATGGGCCTGTGCAGGGCTGAGGGTTGGACTGATGGTCCTTGTGAATCCCCCCCAACTCAGCACATTCTGTGACTCTGTGCTGATTTTAGGTATGTTCCTGGGAGATATGTGATAAACTGTGGGGAAAAAGCCTCCAAAAAGCAAGGCTTTCCTGTTGGAAGTATATCCTCTTTGCCTGAGACAACCAACTTGGACTGTGTTCTCTCTTGCAATTGTGCTAATTAGTCAAATGCTTTTCAGAAATTAATCTTTAATTTTTGTTCTTGTCTGATGAGATGAGCAGAATCAAACCAGTCCAGTGGAAGGTGAAAATTGTGAGATTGTGAAGTTCTCCTTCAGTGGATAACTGTGGATCTCCCAGGTCGCTCTGCCCTTACCTGTGTCTAAGCACATTGATGCCTAGGAAAGCAGGAGCTCATGCTTCTTGGGTGTTTTTCAGAAGAAATGAGTATATGAAGGCATGGAAAATTAAATGGAAAAAAACCCCTCTTAAAGTAATGGAAAATTAAATTCAACTTTCCCTTTAACGCATTTAGAACTTATTAAAGCTTTTTGTTTTAATTTGTGGTACCTGACCTTGTTATATTCCTTCTGTGAAAGGCTTATTTGACTGTTGAAATCTGCACTGAGTATTTCTGACATAACTGGAATCTTAGAAACAAAGAATCTTTTGAGAAGGGCCAGGGCCAGCTCTTAAGAGGAGGGCAACTTCAACCTAATTAGTCTAACTGTGCTTATCACAATTTGATATCTGTTTATGTGCTTTCTGATACATTGCTTGGCAGCACAGTTTTGTTACAGTGGAGATAACCTTTTCTTGTGTGGACTTAGGTGGCATAAAGCAAATGTGTACAATTTCTTTTTTTTTTTTGTTTTCCACTGAGGCCTGTTTGCTGAGAGAGATTTCTGTACAATCTCCTTCACTTTTTTCCTGATAACAGAGATTACAAAAATGTGTTTGCTGTTAGTTTGAGTTCTTGTTTTATTTGGAGGGAACCGGCCTCAATTATGACCTTTTAGTAGAAAGCAGAGTGTGATTCATCAAGGTCCCAGCACTGGCTGGGGTGGAGTCGTGGGTGAGGAGGAGCCCAGGCAAGGTGGCAGTCACCAGAGAACACTTCTCATGGGAAAATCGTGTGGTCATTGGATTTTCATAGAACACAGCAATCAGTGGCACCTTTAAAGGGGGAATCCCCATCCTGGTCCTTTGGTTCTGTGACCTTGTGTTGAAACTATGCAGCCTCTGAATTTTCCCATCATTCCTTTGAATGCTGAGGAGACCAGAAGTCACCACAGGTTGGCCTGGGAAGCACAGCTGTTGTTCCTAATTCTGTCACTAATTTCAATGCACATGTTCTATCCGTCATGGGAACTGATCAAAACTGAGCAGCACTTCTTGTGAGAGACCATGCACAGAGAAGAGAATCATGGAATCCCACAACGGTTCGAGTTGGAAGGGACTTTAGGATCATCCAGTTCCAACCCCCTGCCATGGGCAGGGATGCCACTCACTGGAGCAGGTTGCTCAAGGCCCCACCCAATATATGAGATGAAAGAAATGGCTGTGGAATTGTTCTGTTGGGTGGCTGGTGTGGAGGCCACCATGACACGGGTGTTTCTTTCCAGGATTTGTCTGCAGACCGTCAAGCGGGCTCTTAGGGATCGTATTCCAGAAGACAAAATGCAGTTTGTACAAATAAATAGCAGAGTTATTCCCAATGTCATTTAATTCTGGTTAATATCCTGTTAAATATTTAAAAAAATAGAACCAGCAAGACTGGGAACTCCTCTAAAGTTCAAACCAGCAAATAATAGCCATTTGTAGAGTGATTGATTTGCTGAGTCTTACTGAGTGCTTTAAATATATCAGGGTCAGGTTATCTGTGCCAACCCAAAATTCAGATAGGAGGCTTACGACATGTAGATATGGACTTGTTCGAGTCATGAAGGAAAGTTCTGTCAAGTGTTTCCCACACCTCCAGCAAGATATAAAAGTTGAAGGTCCCTGAGATTTCCCCACGTTTTATTCTGCTGCGTCTTGTTCTCATCCTAAAGAAAAATGAAGAGACTTGTGAGTATCTCCATTTCTGTTGAACTTTTAATACTGTATGTTCCTAATTCTTAGAAACAAAAGGAGAGAGGAGAAGATGCTCAAGTGGTACAGTACAGGGAACAGTGTGTTGTTTCTTTGGTGGTTCAGTAAGAAACCTGCATTCCTTGGGTCAGTGCAGTCTGTTGCAGCATCACTTGAGCAAAGAGTGAAGAAATGGTTACCGTTCACAAGGGGAGTTTATTTGTGATTTAATAATTGCAGTTGTAGAGGCAAATCAAGAAGTAACAAGGCATCAAGGAGGGACTTCTGAAAATACAAAATAATTATTGGTTAAGTTATTCTGCTTTTTCAGTTACAGGCAAAAGAGACCCAAATAGCGAGAAGTTTGCAATGGAAATTGTTTTCAACTAATATATGTGTTAAATGGGTCATTTTTCAAACTGATGCTACAGCTGCTGCCCTCAGTTCATAGTGTTTTGAAGTCACTGCCTGGTGTTTTCCTGAGATGCTTATTCCTTTTACAGGTTGCAGTCCTCGTTTTGCTGGGAGTCTTCTGGGCTCAGACTTCTGCACTGAACGTAAGTAGATGATGAACCTTCTCCTGAATGTGCTCATTTAAAATGTGTTGGATCCCTTGGCAGGGAGAATAAAATAGTCAGAAAAGCACAGAAGGAACTAAGAAGTTGGTTATTGCCAAAGAAAAAGAGCTTTTGCCAGAGGTGACAGTCAAGGCAAAGAGGTGGTTCTGTGCAGGTGCAGAGTAAAGGAAATCTGGGGAACACAGGTCCCCTCAGCTCCTGCTAAAATTTGGAAACTGGTGCAGTGTCCTGCCAGTCCAAGATGACCGGTACGTCCCACTGTGGTTTTCCTCAGCCTGCAGGAGGGCCCGTTGCACAACTGATCTCCACCTCAGGAGCCTCCTGAGACTGCTCGAGGGTTGTGGAGGGATTTAGTGTTTACCTAAAGCAAGTTGGGTTTTGCTGCACCTGCTCAAGATGAAGGCAGATGCTGAGCAATGACCCTGTGCTGTTTGCCACAGACCTTTGTGCTGCGGGAGCCTGGCAGTAACTATGTCACTGGGACCATGACCATCCACAACGAGGAGCACGTCGTCGACGTCCACGTCCGCTCCGGCATCTACTCCTCCGATACCATTTTCGACTACTCCCGTGTAAGTAAAGCAAAGAACCGGCCTCCACTTCATCTCTGAGCAAGTTTTAAACTCAGAAATTATTTTGGTCTATTTTCACCACGTGTTGCCCTGAAACCCGTTTCTTTGAAGCCTCCCATGGCCTTTCCCCTCTTAGGCCATCTCCTTGTCTCATCCATACAATGGGTTGGTTTAAAAGGCTTGTAATGAAACCTGCAGTGGCACTTCATGACAGTGAGAAGAATGTCACTGGCCTCGAGGAGAGCAGAGTTGAAGATGGGCTGCCAGCACTCAGGTGCAGCAAAGTCTGCCAGAAATGATGCTTCCAGTCTTACAGACAGACACTGGGACAGGCTTCCATTCCCAGGGGTGACAATGTAAATGCAGAGTCATCCCACAGCAGCCTGTGTGGCCACTCGGGGTTTCTTCTGGATTGCCCTAAAGTGGAGACCATCAACCAACATCAGTGGTAGCCATTTTTAGTTAAATATTTAACTGTCATTCTTTTCGTCCCAGGGGTATATTGCCACCAGGCTGTTCTCCCGAAATGCCTGCTTTATCATGAAGATCAAAAAGGAATACATCCCCGAGCTGCGCGAGATCGGACGGCTGGCGTTTGAGAAACGGGTGAGCCTGCAGTGAACCCCTCACTGCCCACGAGGAGGGCAGGATGGGTGGGGTGTGGTGGGAGCCCCCCACTCTGCCTCCAAAAACAGCTGCTCTGTTGCTGTCTTAGCGATGATGGAGTTGATCTGACAAGATAGAACTTTCAGGGAATATCATGTAGAACATTCTAATGAACAATCACGGCCCCCCTGCAGTTTTAAAGTAGGCTGTCAAGGTGTCTTGAACTGTACAATCCCCAGTGCTTGAAACAGACGTAATTTGACTATTTTGAGGTGATCACAATATAAGTCTGGGCAGACTTGCCCTTTTATTCATTGTCCTGCTGATATTTTGAGCTTGACACAGCTTGAATTTTTTTTTTCTGCAGAACAGAGCTTAGAGATCAATTTATTTTGACCAGACATTGACTTCCCTATTCAGACTGAGGTTTCAGAACGTGACTGGAAGTATTTCTTGGAGACAGCCTGGAGTTCTGGCTCATTTTGTGCCAACCCAGCAGTAACACATTTACAGCAAAACTTACTGCCAATTAATGTAATTCAGTATGGCAGAAATACAGCTCAGGTTTGCTGTGTTGGCAGAATTATTATCTAGTGATTTTTGTTTCCAAGTAGATTGAAAATATTTATTTCTCTTTAAAGGCATGGAACTTCTTTAGCTAATGTTTTTTTGTGAGGCAAAGGAAGGTAATTTTCGGTTTGGGAACCAAAGCTACATCACTCATGCCGTGTAACCTCTCCTTTTCAGACCATGAAGGATGTTTACTCTCCAAATAATGTGTGGACCCTGTTTCAAACTGGCAGTTCTGTGCTGGGGCGTTTGAAGGACTGGATTCTCTATGGCAAACACATCGAAAAGCTCTGCTCGGGGCTGCCCCTCTACCAGCTCACAGCCACTGAACGTGAGTCACAGATCAGAACACTCTGCTCTGGCCCCTCAAACCCTCCTGTCCTTTAAGTCCTCGTGGTACCTTTGAGCTGTGCAGACATTTCCTCCCACTCAGTTACACCACAAATGTTTGGCGCAGTTTTGGGACCGACAGGAGCCTTGAACAGGGGATTGAGATTTTTTCCTAACTGGATACAGGGATCTTATCACTGATCATATCTTCGTCTTCTTGTTTCTTGTAGCACAAGAGAACACTGATGGCTGTGCCAGTGCAGGAATTCCGAGTATTTTGGGCATTAACATCTGTGAACAGCTCATTGCAACTGGATCTTGACATTCCTGCTGCTAGGAATTGCCTGGTTTCTTTGCATGCTTTTCTGATGGAGACCATGTTCTCCAGCTGGAACAGAGCTCGGGTATGAGGCTCAACTTGCCTATTCAAGGCTTTGATGTATGACAAAGCTATGATATACAAATAAAGATAATGCTTTAATAATCGAGTAAAATGCTTTGCCCTTTTTATTCATCCAAAATCAGAACAGAATTAAAGTGGGCCTTGCCAGTTTTCCTGCAGAAGAGACACATTTCCCTTTGGTTTGCTGCTGTGCTCAGGTTGCAGCGTGGCCCAGGCGTTGCTTTTGCTTCGTGCTGGTGAAGAATCAGAAGCTGAATAGTGGAGAACTTCACTTTGGCATCAGCATCCAGCCTCTTCAGGTGCTGGTTCACCTTAGGTACAACTGCTGGAGGGAGGGAGCAAACAGGTGAACGGACACAAAGGAAGGGAGCAGATCGACATTGCCATTTGCAAATAAATGAATTGAATTCTGTGGGGCCAGTGGGAGTTTGCAGCGGTTTGAATGAGTGCAGAGAGGTTTTGTTTTGCCATTTTCAAACCTAGATAGAGACTGTCCCAGTCCTAAAGAATTTGTCACCTGGAATGAAGTTTCCCTTTCACACAATGCCAGGGCACAGAGAGCTGTGACCACTTGCTGAGTGTCCCACATTGGAGAGTCATTTGTGTCAGGGGCTGATGGAAATAAGGATGAGGCAGCACTGCTGCCACCTCCCTGCTCTTGTGCTAATCCCAAGGAATGGTGGAACTCCCACATCCTTTCCATCAGTGCTTGGAAAGGGTGGATATACTGGGGCTGAAGACTGAATATTTACTCTTTATTGGAGCCTTGGGCGGCTGCCAGAGGACAAGACATTCCTTTGGAGAAAACAGGCTCCAGGTCTGCAAGTTGTTATTTTCAAATCAGACTCCTGGTCAAACCATCTGCTATTTATTAGAGGAGCATTTTATCATATGGTGAAAGCTGTCCTTTTGGATTATTTGTATCCAGAACAGGCTGCGGGTTCTTGGTGAGCCAAAGAATGTTTCTGGAGAGTCAAATTTTGGTAATTAAATCCAGGAATACTTGTTTTATGTTCCATGAACTCTGAAACAAGCCTCAATATACCTCATTATCTGCCATTGAATTCTGAGTTAGGGAGTGGTGTTCCTGCCCTTCAAGTACTCAAAAATGGAAGAAGATTGTTTCTAGCTTTAATTTTAGTTGCCAGCCTCATTGTATCAGTCAGGCCTGTGAGGAATATATTTGCATTTTGACTGCTGTGTTTGTTGTTTGGTAAATAAAGCTCCAGCTCTCCATCCACTCACAGCACCTCCAATGCCCACGTGTCCAGCTCATGGGAAACTTCTGGGTGCAGAACCCCGAGGCAAATCTGTTGTGGTGTTGCTGCACCTTTTGGGGTCCAGCTCACAACAAAGACAGAAGGAAGTGCAGGAAGAATCATAAACCAAACAACCCACCTGGCCATGTTCTGCTTCCCCCCAGTGTTTTACAGGATGGTCTGTTCCCATGTGAACACACATAGGCAAGTTGCAGCTCTGAATTTACTGCCCTTGAGCTCAGCTTGTTGGTATCACCAACAGCCTGAAAGGTCCTGCTAGAAAAGGCTGCAGAACAAAAGAAATTTATTCCCAATTTAAAATAACTAATTACAGGGCAAACAGGAATGTACACCCAGCTCTGAACAAAGCAGAGAAAAGGACATATGCAGGAGGAAGAAATTTGATATTTTATTTATTGACACTGTATTTGCCCTTGTGATTTCCTGCCATTTCACTCTTTGCTGACTAGGCCACAGTTTACAGTATGTTCTATGTACATGTATTACACTGTAATTAATCTATTTTTCTTATCTTGCAGGTGGTTGATATTATTACTGAACTACAGGGAAAGACCAAGGAGGTAAAAGCAGCAACAACAGGTAAAGTGTCCCTGAAGATCAGGTCCATCCGTTGCCTTAAATAACTGTAGCCTGAAAATGTTGGCAATCTTTAAATCAGTCTGTCAGCAAAGGGTCTGCTCTGAATGGTCATGATCCAAAGGAAATCACAGAAGCATGGAATTGTAAAGTTTGGGAAAGACCTTTAAGTTCACCAAGTCCAGCCATCAACCAGCACCACCACCATGTTCACCACTAAACCACTCAAGTGCCACATCCAAATGTTTTTTGAACACCTCCAGGAATCGTGACTCCACCACTGCCCAGGACAGCCTATTCCAATACTTAACAACCCTTTCCAGGAAGGAATTTCCCCAATATCCAGCCTGACCCTCCCCTGGCACATCCTGAGGCCGTTCCCTCTCCTCCTGTCCCTTGTTCCCTGGGAGCAGAGCCCGACCCCCCCCGGCTCCCCCCTCCTGTCAGGGGGTTGCAGAGCCAGAAGGTCCCCCCTGAGCCTCCTTTTCTCCAGGCTGAGCCCCCCCAGCTTTCTCAGCTAAGTTAATTCTAAGTTAATTCTCAATTAACTTCGACATGCTCTATATGATACAAAACATCTGTCCTAGACCCCCTCAGGTATCAGTAGCTTTGTGAGTTGTCTGTTGGGGAGGATCTTTTTGCATTGTGATCCATGAGATTTTCCACTGGGGATGGATGGAAAATTCCCACTGATTTCCATGGGAGGCACCCACAGAGCACTGCAGCCCTACACTTCAGGAACAGCGGTGGAGTCACATTCTCAGGAGCAATCGGAGCGTGGCCCGATAACCGCCCAAGGTTAATGTGCAGGTGGAGAAGGAGAAGTTTGTTGGCTCTAAGCACAAGGTTAACACCTTGGAAGCAGCAGAGCCACTGGTATCTGCACCAGGAGAGGGGCAGGGCTGCCCTGATCCCACCAGCACTGCAATCCAGAGCTGTCCTAGAAATGAAAAAGGAGCCAGTGCACCAGCTCGGATCCTAAAAACATATTGGTTGGAAGAGTCCAGGGAGGAAGAGTGTCAGGATGTGACTCATGATCTTAGAAGTTACCTGATCTTTTCACCAGCTTTTCTCCACCAAAGTAATATGCATGTTTTGGAAGTTTACCTGCCTTCTCAGTCAGGCTTGTTCTGTAAAAAGTGGGGAATTTGTTTTTTGTAGAAGAGAGTTTGGTGGGAGCGTGTCTGGGTGTGCCTGAGGGAGTACCTGTGCGTGTGCATGGGTAAATTAAAACAATATATGTCCCTGGCTGGAATATCAGGATAATGCTGGCTGTTTTATCCCTGGCTGGGATACCAGGACAATGCTGATTATTTGCTCCCAACTTTTTTTTTAAAAGCCTGAAAGGTGTTTGAAGGCACGTCTGGAATCCAAGCAATGGTATCGTTGGATGCCACTGACAGGCAGCTGAAACACGTCAGGCATTTGGGGCAGGCAGGATGAGCCTAAACTGGTCACATCTCCACCCCTGTGCATTAAACTTCCCTGGTCCCTGTGGGCAGGAAGCCTCTGTGGTCCTTCACTGCCAAGGACAGACACCGATTTTTTTGGTCACCTGTGCTGCACATTAATCCGAGATGCTTTCACCCCTGAACCCATTCCCAAAAACCTCCCAGCTCCTCAGTTTCCCAGGGTACAAGGCTGTTGACCAAGGTCAGAGTATGACACCTTCACCAGTTGTGATCATTTCAAAACCAGGGCTCAGTGTGGAAACCCTTATCCTGGAGAGCAGCACCTTTTTAATTTAAGGCACTGCTTCTATCAGGAGCAATGGCAGGTTTTCATGTATCTTGTCTGAGATGTGAAAGCAAGTTTTCCAGTTAGTATCAAGTCATTGAAAGGCACAATTACTAACACTGGCAAATTTTCTCTTATAGGAAGAATTTTCACTGGCAGAATAAAATTAAACCAGACTGGAGAATCAAACCTACTGTTTAAAATCAGAATTGTGTGGGCTGGGCTGGCAGGCCAAAGGTGTGATTGAGTGTCCTTGTCTGCTGGGTCTTTCCACCCTGTTTGTACTGACAGAGCATAGCTGTGAGGGGAAAAAAAGTCATCCCTTCATTTCAGAAGGCAAAAAGCTTTGCCTTTGGAGTGGGTGTGTGTTACCAGCAAGGAGCAAATTGCTGTGGTTGAGCACTGAACAACACAGCAAGATCCACGTGCCAGAGGAAAAGAGGGAACATTCCTCAGTTCAGTTTGACTCAAGGTGCCTGACCGTAAATACTCAGATTATAAATTATTAGGAGGTGAACTGGGTTTTGCACCATTATTTTTTTTAACTAAGTGGTTGTCTTAGCCAGATTTCCAAGGAATACAGCCCAATCCTGGTGGACACATTGGTCTTTACTCGAGCCAAGCACGAATGAGATTCCCACTGACCACTAGATGGCAAATTGTTACAGCAACCTCAACATGTGGTTTTCTTACTGCAGTCTGGATCTTGCTGTCATTAGGCTGGTAAAAGCACCGATTAGGAGCAAAACATAAATTAAAAATAAAATGCAATTAATCCCTATCAACCTGTTCCCCAGAAAATAGAAGCGGAGTCAGGATACAGGGGATTAGGATTCTTTCTTTCAGATTTCTCAACCAGTGTAATGTTTATTTTCACATGTAATTATTCCCCACTTGTTGATTAACTAAACTAATTTTTGATGTCTTAATATTTTTAATTTTTCTCTCTAATAGGTATGTATATATTTCATTATATAATAAGACATTGCATGAGGTTTATTAATCAAATATTCCAAAGTGTTCCACATAGCAAAGATTCCCAAGCTCTAATGTGAATGAGTGAAGTCTTTTCCCTTTCAGAAAGGGGACACAGCAACGGGTTAAGGATCAATCTGACAAAGGCCAGTCCCAAGCTGACCCTGAGCACAGGTAAGGGGAGCAGCCCCAACACTCCTGAATTTTTATCTCTCTCCTTATCACCCTGTTGCCACCAAGAGAAATCCAAGCAGCCTCCTCTGTCTCTGCCCCTGCCCAGTCCTGCTCAGCCAGGCTCCTTCCTTGGGAATGAAGAACCCACAGAGGGGTTATGTGGCTTTTGATGTGGGGTTTTTTTGGAGGACACCAGGGGCAAAGGGGATGGAAAACTGGCTGTGATTCTGTAGCCAGGTCTCTGTTCCTTGCAGACAGGTCCTGCCAGTCATGGTCACATCCTCTCACACTTCTGCAAGTCCTTTTCTTTGCCCTTTCAGCTCGGTAAGAGGCAGCCAAACTC